TAAAATTACTTTTCTTAAAGAAAAATTCGCACTGATCCATTGAAAAAATCCTTGTTGATCAATTTGCCTTACTTGCCACGTATTTCGCACGGAAGGAATCAAAAAATTGGTGCCAGCTACCTCCAGTTTTGAGGTAAGAACTACTGGATACTTTCAATTTTGAAAATATACTCCAAATACTCTGAATTATAAAAAACATACCAAGAAGGGATTTTCCATCCATTCTTCATCTATCTCAATTTTTCTGTTAAGTTCATAATCATCATCATCATCATTGCACCACCATCTCCATCTTTACGTACTCCCCCCCCTCCTCTTCCTCTTCTTCTTTTTCTTCTTCTTCTTATTCTTCTTCTTCTTCTCCTTATTAGCTTCCACTTCCAATCTTCCAGACCCCCCACCCCTCACCCCTATTGCTTCTTCTTCTCCTTATATTATTATTATTATTATTACTATCATCATCATCATCATCATCATCATTTTTTTGGTTTTCAAAAAAAAATCATCATTCTTATTATGACTACGTATTATTATTATTATTATTATTATTATTATTATTATTATTATTATTATTATTATTATTATTATTTATTACAAAGTATTATTTTCTTTTTCTAAATTTTTATCATTAATATTCAAAATTAATATTATTAATTTTTAATATTAAAACTAATTATTATTTTTTATTTATTACAAAGTATAATTTCCTTCTACCTCTATTATTTATTATTATTATGAAGTAATATTCTCTTATTCTTCTTTAATTATTATTAAAAAAAACTATATAATAGTTTCACTATTATTTTTACGGGAAGGTTTGACTCCAAAGTCAAAATCAACTTGTGAAGTGCAATTGAAGGTGGTGGGGGGTGTTTGGGTCGGGGCCGAGTGGGGGGTTTATCGGGGGTTAGGGGGTAGGAACCGTCAATTTTACGAACGGGGCACCGGAGCACCCCCGGGTCATCCCATGACATTGCCCTCCAATGTCACTTGAACCTTGGTGATGATTTTTAATAATAATAGTAATAGTAATAGTAATAGTAATAGTAATAGTAATAATAATAATAATAATAATAATAATATTAAAATTAATATTAATTATAATATTAATAATAATAATAGCAATAATAATAGAAGGAGAAGAAGAAGAAATAAGGGGGAGGGGTTGGGGGTTTGGAAGATCGGGAGTGGGAGGAGAAGGAGGAGGAGGAGGAGGAGGAGAAGAAGAAGAAGGAGAAGAAGAATAAGAAGAAGAAGAAGAAGGAGAAGAAGAACTAATGATGATGGTGATGATGATGGTGATGATGATGATGAATTTGACGGAAAAATTGGGATGGAGGGAGAATGGATGGAAAATCCCCTCTTGGTATGTTTTTTTATAATTCAGGGTACCTGAGAGTATATTTTCAAAATTGGAGGTACCCGGTAGTTCTTACCACAAAACTAGGAGTACCTGGCAGTAATTTTTTGCGGAAGGAATATCAATAAAGCTTTGTGTATACTACTTACATACTAAGGCTTTGTTTGGTGACAGCGTTTTCGATTGGCGTTAGCGTTTTGGATAACATTTTAATGATGCAGATTAATTCTGAAAACGCTAACGCTAAAGGCTACCGTCGGATAGCTTTTTCAAAACGCTAAAGCTAATCTCTAACGTTGATTCCAAACGAGGCCTAAGTAAGGATAAAGTTATTTGTACCCCAAACTTTTGTACCTCATTTGTACACCGCAGGTTTGCACTGACATTTTATGTTGGTGTAAAACTAATTTTTGTTAACGCACCAAAACTTTGTGTCCGTGTAAATTTTTGTTAACGCACCAACACTTGTGTCGGTGTAAAACATCAAAATGTTTGTTTATAACTGCGGTGTACAAATGGAGTATAATTTTTTGTGTAAGTGTAGCATGACCCACTAAGTAAATGTTACCGACACAAAAGCAACAATTGAAGTGTGTCGTACAAAATAACTATTATCTGTAGCACACTTGGTGTACAACTAGGGGTGAGCATAATAACCGAACCGACCGTAGAACCGTTAACCGAAAACCGAATTTATCGAAAGTTCGGTTTCGGTTTCGGTTTTAGTTGGACTATCCAAAACTAGTCGGTTAGTTCGGTTTTTTTGGTTGGGTTTCGGTTCCGCGTTTACGAGACCCGAACCGACCGAATAACCGACCCTATTTTAGCCCAGCCCAAATTATTAGTCCAGCCCAGCCATTAACTCATGCTTATCCCACATTCTATTTCATCAACCCAACCAAAATCCAATATTTTGAGATCTAATCCAATACAATTATTCTTCAAAATTATTTCCCCGTCAATCCATCATCACTCCCCCTGCTTTCATAATTATAGATAAAATCTCCATTCGCACTTCACAGATCTCAGGAGGCCGCCGTCATCACTCCTTTCCCCGTTCGTCGTCCGAGTATGCCGACATCACTTCTTTCTTCGACAGCTTCCTACATCCTCACCATCGCACCTTCTCATCTTTCTCTTGGGCCTCTGTAACTCCGAAAACCTCCATCCCACTACACAATCACATAGGAGCATATCTAGATCTATATTTAATTTAAGTTTTAATTTAAGGTATTTAAAAATTTTAATTCTCATATTTTAAAAATGAAATTATAATCCTTCAATTGATTAAGTTTCACATTTGAAGCTTCGGGATCTAAAAATGGATTGGGTTTCAAAATTTTAATTTCACTTTGGTGAGATCCTAATTCATATACTCCAAAATTAGTTTGTACTTTATAAAAGTGATATTGCAATTCTTGCTCTTTTGCAAAACAAAGAGTAATGTGGAGTATGGCAGTTCGCACATTGGTATCCTGCGTGCTGTACTGTTGCTCGGTTTTTAAAAACCGACCGAATGGAATCGGTTTAAATGGGTTTCGGTTATTTCGGTGATTGGTTTTTTGCGGTTCGGTTCGGTCGGTTATTTCGGTTTTGAACCGAAACCGACCGATGCTCACCCGTACAAGTGGTGTACTCTAAAAATCACCCCATCCAAACATGAGCTTAGTATAATTTTATTTTCTTTCTTCTTGTTGAGCAAGTACGGGCCATGCATTATTGTAGGGGTGAGTATTGAAAAAAAATCAGATTGAATCAAAATCGGTTGAACTATGAAATAATCGAATAATTATTAAGTTGAATCAAATTTTCAAAGTAAAGTTGTTTTGTGTTAGTTTATACTCCCTCCGTCCCAAAAAGATTTACACCTTTCAAAAAAATTATGTTCCACAATCTCCTACCCATTTCTATTAAAAAAATCACTTTTATCCCTTACTTTTTCAAACCCTACCTATCACATCATACCTTTTTCCTAATAATCTACACATCACATCCTACTTTTACCCATCACATCAAGGATATTTTTGGAAAGTCAACACAAAATTATCCCTCCCTTAATTTCTACTTTAGTCAAAATGGGTAACACTTTATGGGACGGAGGGAGTATGTGATATACACTATCTGTCCAATAATAATATTCTTGTTACGCGTTACGATGTTTGACTGAAATTATTTTCAATTTATTTTATATGAAAAATCGTATTGAATTAAAAAAAGTTGCATATTTATAAACTACATGAAAAGATCTGTAAAACTAGAGGTGACATGACTTTATTATTTTATCAAATAGGCAATGAAAATACACCAACAAAGTGAATAAAGTTTGAACCGTGAATAGTGAACAGAAACATTATTGTTGAATGAAGGAGTATATAAAACCAAAGATGAAGAAAAGTAAATAATTGATCACACATTTAAAATAAATATATGATCACACATTTAAAGTTACCCTACCTCAACTACATACAGAGTACTTTACTATTTTAATCCTAAAATTACCTCCATCCCAAAAACACTTACCTGAAAACTAAAACGAGACAAAATTCCCATTTTTTTGTTTATTGTGTTTAAAAACTAATAAAGAAATAAAAAAATGACATATTTAAAAACTTTGTCAAAGGTTCAACGAAACAAATAATGACATTAATATTTTGTTTTATCAAATAATTTATAAAAAATATAGATAAACAAAAGTTTTTGTGAATTCAGAATAGTGAAGTGTGTAAATCATTTTTGTGATGGAAAGAGATAGAGTATCAAACACAATAAAAATAAAAAATAATAAACAAATATACTACCTTCGCCCGAGTATTTTTTCTCATTCTAGCTTTTTGAGTCAAATTAAACAACCTTTGAGCTTCATTTACTCTCAATTTATATTGTATATTAGTACAATAACATAATATTTTGGAACTTTTAAAACATGATTCATCTAATAAAATCATTTTTATACTAATACAAATTCATATTTTCTTTAATTGAAGCTTAAAATTTATTATATATGTTTGACTCAAGATAGTTAAATTAGACAAATACACCTAGACGGAAGAAGTATACACGAATAAATCAAATAGTAATATTAACATTGAGAATTCATGTTTTACATATTGGCTTAAATATTTTAATGTTTTCAATTTTGTGTCTTTTTATTTGTTCACTTTGACACTATTTGTGTTAAGGGTGGACACGGTACCGGTACGGTACCGTGACCGGCAACGGTACCGCCAGTACCCGCCACAGTAACACCGACTAGGACGCCATCAACGGTTCCGGGAACCGGTACCGCCCCACTCGGTACCGGTTCCGGTGCCAATTTTTCCGTACCGGCGGTGCCGGTACCGGTTCGTACCGGTTTATGTTTTTTCCTTTGCTCTTCCCAATGGAAACCTGCAAAAAAAACACCAAAGTTAGTGGGTGGGGGGCACCTCAACGGCTATTTAGCCTTTTGAGGTGGGGGGGGGGGGGGGGGGGGGAATTCCTATAAATTAACTCAATTTTTTTTCAAAAAATTCACACTCAAATTCTCAATCATCTCTCAATCTCTCAATCTCTCAATCTTATTATTTCTTTTCAATTTTTATACAATTTATATTCATATAATAATATAAATATATATTAATATATTACATAATAACCAATAATTAATACACTCATTATTCATATTATCAATTATCATATATTTTTAGTTTATTACTAATATTATATTTCAAAAGTTTCGAAATTTAATATATAATTAATATTTTTAAAATATTCTTTAAATAATTTAAATATATAATTTTTATTTTAAATATATTCTTTACTTTTTGAAATATTCGAAATTTTAATATATATAAAATTTCGAAAATTTATTAAATTTTAGAAATTTAATATATTATTTTTTTAAATATAAGAAAAAATATATATTAAAATGTCGAGAGAGTCTGGTAGAAGGTCCGTGGATATGGGCGCCGTGAACCGAAGTTTGAGGAGAGGCAAAGCTAAAGCCACCTCCGACGGTTCGACCTCACGCGGTTCTCGAGGAAGACACTCCGTCTCTTCCTTTCCTACTATCCCCGATCAATTCATCGGGGACGATATGACGGATGAAGATTTCGACCAGTACATTTCTGGTAGAGGGGACGCGAATCTCCCCACTCTTGATAGTTTATTCGAGGATGTTGATGAATCAAAACTGGGCAATCTGGACAGGGACGAGGAGCCTACACCGCACAACAACGACGTCGATGTGGAGGCAGGTGAGCCCGAGACCTCTCGAGGTCCGGACAAAGGTAAAAAAAATTAAAATCAGATTTATTTGTTCATCATTTTGAAAGAGAAACAAAAGATGGCATAGTTTATGGAACTTGTAAGTATTGTGGGGCCGTCATTAAAATGGGAGTTTCCGGCGGTTATGGTGGTCCGGAAAAACACCTAAGGTCGAGGCATCCCGTGGAGTACGCCAAATACGCGGCGAAAAAGAAGAGACGACAAGAAGTGCAAACCCAAATTTCTCAGTTTGCTAACAGGGGTAAGGGCGGCCTTTTTGCTTATAGCCACGAGCAAAATAAGCAAAAAATGGATGAAATGATTTCTGAAGAAAATTTGTCATACATGTTTTCTGAAAAACTCGGATTTATTGATTATTGTCAACAGGCATTAAACCCTCAAGCAAGAGGTTTTTCAAGAAAAACAATTAAACGAGAAATTATTCGCCAGTATAAACTTGAAAAAATAAATTTGGCAAATTTTTTTCTCAATTTTAATTCTCGTGTTGCTATTTGTTCTGATATTTGGGGTGAAACATATCATAATTTGTCTTATATGGGTGTTACTTGTCATTGGATAGATAGTGATTGGATTATGCATAAACGTGTTCTTGCATTTCGTGATTTCAATGATTCTCATACTGCTGAAAATATTTTTCTATTGCTTCAAAGTATTTTGCGGGAATACATGTAACGCCCCAAAACATACCCTAGAATTATTAATAAATAATTACTTGATTAATCAAATTTGTTTTGATTAAAATAAATTGTAAGTGGGCTTTGGGCCGATACAAAATGTGTTTTGATATCCATTATCACAATCTAGATAAATCTCATAGAGATAAATCCAATTTGTTGACTATTTGTGTGGTCTTGATTGGGAACCTGCGTACAGACCCAAATCAATAATAAATGAAGAAATTATTTATGATGTGAACTTTGAAATGATTTATTGAAATAAATCATTAGAACAAATGATATGAATTAAATGTGAGAAACCTTTTTTAATAAAGATCAAATAAATCAATTTTTACTCTGTCAAAGTCAAACACCTAAAAATATGATGTCAGAAAAAGTATAACGAATAAATATAAAAATTATATCGCTGGATAGAGTTTAACTGTCTGATCGCAACGGTGCAAACGGAATTCAATTCGGAGAAAGTTGGACCAAAAAGTGTACCGCGACTGGAATCAAATTGGTTCCAATCAAGGAACGGCGTGTAGATCATTTAGAATCGCCGTCCTGCGCACTAAGGAATTTCTACGTAGAAATGAGTCAGCTACCAATGTCTTCTTCCCCTTCTCTTCTCCTATATAAGGATATCCAATCCTTACCAATTCTTCACCAATTTTCTGGAAATATATACCATTGTGTTCATAAGAGTAAGGAGAGCAGTCTGGTGTTGTTGGTTGCCGCCGAAGTCGCCGGAATTGGGAGTAATCATCGCCGGAAGTTTCGCCGTAAAATTCTCAAAACCTTCGATAAGCTTTGAGGTAAGCCCGTAGATATATCTAGTGACTAGAATGTTCGTATAGATCGTTTCTACGTTCAAAAACGGTCATTTGGTTGAGTTTTGTGTTTGACATGCTAAAAGAACCAAGAATCATAAACCATTAAATTGATGTTAAAACTATGAATTAATGATACCAAAATGATCTATGAACCTTAGAGAACATCTCTATATAGTTTCGTTGAAGTTCGATGACTAAAAACGGGATTTCCGAAAAATGGGCCGAAGGTTGAAGAAGATGAACAGTAAGCTGAAAAACACTGCCTGGATCGATCCTAAGGCTTGGATCGATCCTATGGGAACATTTTTTTCATATCATGGATTGATCCAGAGGGCTGGATCGATCCCCCGAAGTTCTGATCCGAAAATGTGTTTGGAAATGCTATTTTTGAGTTCTAAAATCCTATTTTTGATACCAATGGATTATGATCATTATAAAAATGATTTACCATAATAGAAATAATTTTTTTAACAACTAAAAATGTTATGTGATGCATGACGGTTAGTTGGGTGTTAACACTCGAAGCTAGGCCGCTATTTGTTATCAATTGTTATGTTAATTGATGATTATGATAAATGAACATTATGGATGATTATGAGTAATGAACCTACTGATTAAAATAAGTATTTATGATTGAATCATGAGTAAAATGAATACATTTATAGTTATGAAATGAATTATAGTGTTAAGGGTATATAGAAGAACTCTAAGATATACCCATTTAGAGAATTGATGTTATGGCTATCTAGAAGACCTCTAGAATAGATCTCATATTATTGAAACATGAATATTTAGTGATTGGATGAAAATGTAATAATGGAATTCAGAGACCAAACTAGAGGATCACTTGTTTGGGAATGCCCCGATCCAACGTTGATCAATTGCTATATTGTTGTTGCCTTAACTGACTACAGTTAAGTGTCCGATATCATTTGCCTTAAACTAACGATAGTTTAAGTGTCTGATTATGAATTGCCTTAACTGACTACAGTTAAGTGTCCGAAATCGATTGCCTTAAACTAATGATAGTTTAAGTGTCTGATAATTAATTGCCTTTTTAAGAGCATTATTATGATCTGGCCTTAGACTAAGAATAGCTAAGAGCATTGTTATGATCTGGCCTTAGACTAAGAATAGCTAAGAGCATTGTTATGATATGGCCTTAGACTAAGAATAGCTAAGAGCATTGTTATTATTTGGCCTTAGATTAAGAATAATTTAAGGGCACTGTTGGAATAATATCTGAATTGAATAAAAGGTGTTGATATGAACTGAACATTATCAAAACTGTGAATGTCTGAAATGAACATTGTGTGCATGATATCAATTGATTTGATTATGAATTTAGATTCAGTTTATATGGATGTTCGATGCATTAGATATGCTTACTCAGCTTTACCGCTGAGCATGTAGTGTGTTTTATTTGCTACACGCAGGTAAACAGAAAGAACAATGTGATCCTGGTGGAAGATGGGGCGAGATTGTCGGGGTGGATGTGACAAATTTTGAGATGAATTATGATATGTCAATATTAAATTCGCTTCCGCAATATTGTTGAATACTTCGTACTGTATATGTTATGAAAATATTATTGGGATTAATAAAGTGTGTTTGAAAAGTTTTAAATTTGTACTATTTCTAAGTTAAATACTTTAGTCCGAAAGGGGCTGCAGACCTGGACGGATTAAGGTGTTACAATTTGGTATCGGAGCATATGGTTTTAAAACCGATCTTCGGATCAAAATTTGATTTTAAAAAAATGTTGGTCACATCCACGACTCTCGCATCCTTCTGCTCCAGGAAAGGTATGAGAATTTACCTAGTAAATATTGACTATATTGAATTCTCATTAGATAACATTTGTTAGTGATGAAAATGTATCGAGCATAGACTCAAATTGAATTTTCGTACTCAATGAAGAGACGAAAGAATAAAAAAAATACATGACCTCTAATACGTTATCAACGTACGCATCGCATCGCGAATAACGAAACTGATCTGCATCGCGAAGTCGCATGAAAGTGAGATGACTATGAAGAAATGATTTATGTTGAACAACATTTGTGAAGCCGATGTCAAAGATCCTCATGTGGACTCAAGATGACCTGATCGCCGATTCAAACACGAACGTTTAGAATCAGTCAAATTATGTTATCTAGAGTATCCATTCTGATGTCTGATTCATTACAACACAATATGTGATTATATTGTGAAAATCGAAATCATTCGTTAATCGACAATTCCTTACAAAATCTCGTTGGGAAATTGACATTATCCTTAATATGAATTGGCTGAACGTCGTTGATATTGACAACTTGTGATGAAGAATTTCTCAACTGAAGACCAATGATGTTAACCTCATATAGGTGAAAGCAAAGCTGATTATTAAACCGACCGAGTTCATCTCGATTGAGTACGCAAATGTAGATGGATCGATTAAACTCCGTATCAATTACCATCAAGTGAAATCTTTATCCTTATCTCGTATCTATGACTTATTTGATCAGCTTAGAGAATCCATTGTGTTCTCTAAGATTGACTTACGGTCAAAGATACTATCATATCTCTGTTAAGACAGACAGACTGACGATCAAGAATCGCTACCCTTTACTGTGAATTGACAATTTGTTGGGTCAAATTCAAAGGAACCTAGTTAGAAGCTAAGGATAGCTCAATCTTGTTGAATGAGGTGACGCATTGCTATGACACGATTAGTGACTTAAACATCGATGTAGTTTGATAGAATAAATATCTGTTGTCAACTCGTCTATTCGAGTCAAAGAATCTTAACGAAGGAATTTCTGTTATTGTAGAATGAGTCAAGAAACCGCTCACGATCAAAGCAACCAAGTGCCAAGCGATGGGCATGAAAATGTTCATACTGAAGCATCTAGTTTCTCACCTCCTATTCAAAATGAACCAGTGAACCCACAAAACATTCCCCAAAATGATCAAAATGTCGGAGGTCAACCTCATGCCATGCTACCTACATTAATGGTAAACTTCTTGCAACAAATGACTCATACCCCTATGTTTCAACCACCTCCACCACCACTTCGTTTGATCACTTTCAAAACCTTGAAAGATAATGGTGCTGAGGAGTTCCTGGGAGATCGAATTGTCGAACCCCAGATCGCTCTTGAATGGATCGAGCAGACTGCTCGTGTACTGCAAAATTTGAACATACCTCTTGCTGATCATCCAAAATTTGCATCTCAATTGCTCCAAAAGGAAGCCTATGAATGGTGGAAACGCACTGACGAAAATCCAAACACACCCAAACCGTGGACTTGGGAATTCTTCGATTGGGCGTTCAAGAAGGAATATATTCCAGCCCGATTCCGTGAACAGAAACGTGCCGAATATATTCAATTGAAGCAAGGAGATATGACACTCCCTGAATACCGACAAAAATTTGTCCACCTCGCTCAATTTGCAACCACACTAGTGAGCACATCGGCTGACCGCATTGAGGAGTTTCGCAAAAGACTTCGACCTGATCTCAGGCCGCACGTATCTACTATTCAAACTATGGATTTCATTGAGGCATACGACCTTGTAACGCCACAAAATATGGCCTAAAATTTATTATAAAATAAAAGTAGTTTTATCCAATAAGGAATATTTATACGTTTGACCAAAAATAAATGGATTTCCAAAATAATGACTTTTTGTTAAAAACTTATTCTTATGGATATGTCTCGAAGAGACGAATCCAACGGTACATTTTATGAACCACTCTGATTTATAGATTTCAAGTTATGTCAATTTTAAATATTAAAATTTGTAACTTTGACCCATAAAATAAACTCAATTCAAAAAGAGATTTCATAGGGTTAGAAATCTTAAATTTTGACACTTGACAACATCATATTAATCATTTGGATTTAATTCATATATTTTTATTTCATTCATATTATTATATTAAATTATGACTGAGACAGACCCGAACACTGTGAAAAATAAAAGTTCTCAGAAAAATATTTTGATTACGCCAAAATTCTAGTTTTGATAGTCTGATTCCAAAAATACAATTTGTTTTCAATTCGGAGCAGTTTGGGCGAAAAAGTGCGTACCGTTTGGAGTAAACTGTTTAGTTTTGGCTAAAAGCCAAAACATTAATTATCAAATCTCTACTCAATCACGTAGCTAACCAAAGGGGTATCCACAAACTCTTTAAATCATTCTCCACTACCTCACTCCACCCACTACACTACAACACTCCAAATAATTATATAATACTCCCAAAACCACACCATAACATCATCATCATCTTCCACCATCCCACATCACCAATCATCTCTCCTCCTCACCATCCCTCTCTCTCTGTCGGCCAAACAAAAGGAAAGGAAAAGAAAGCCTAAACTCCATAGTTGGCTCAAGGAAGAAGAAGAAG